CCTTCATGCTGAGGTGAGTTCCCTTCTCATTTCTGCCTCTTGGAGTCTTTAGCTTTCTTTGCTGCCCAACTCACGTACCATATCTTTCTTGATTCTCATGGTCAATAAATTAGCATTTATCAAGCACCTACTATGTGCCATGCACATAGAAAGCCCTCTCTTCCTCCTCAAATTATTGACCTAGCTCAGTGAATCTTGTACTTCAACCCTCAATAGAGTGTAAGTTTCTTGAGGGCAGGAACTTAAAAAAAATTGTTTTGGTATTGCCAGTCCTACATACAGTGACTTGAACATAGTAGGCACTTAATGCATGTTTGATGAATGAATGAAGGAATGGTGTGTTAAGGCTTTCCTTAATGGTGTGATCCTGTGTATTCTAGCAGTTCCTGTTGCGCGGATGGAAAAGAAGAACCTATCCAACTTGGAGGAATTTATTCTCCTGGGATTCCCAGGGACGCAGGGTTTGCAGATATCCCTCTTCCTGTTGTTCTTTGTCATGTATATGCTCACTGTAACAGGCAACATGGCCATCATCACACTGGTATGGACCAATCATCACCTTCAGACCCCCATGTACTTTTTCCTCTGTAATCTCTCCTTCCTGGAGATCTGGTTCACCACGGCCTGTGTCCCTAAGACCTTGGCTAACTTTGCATCTCAGAGCAAAGCCATCTCCTTCATCAGCTGTGCCACTCAGATGTACTTTGTCTTCTTCCTGGGGTGCACTGAGTGTTTTCTCCTGGCTGTGATGGCATACGACCGCTATCTGGCCATCTGCTATCCTCTGCGATACAGTTCCATCATGACTCACATTGTCTCAGCCCGTCTTGCCCTGGGTTCCTGGATGTGTGGCTTCTCAGTCATCATGGTGCCCACTGTCCTCATCACTCGCCTCTCCTTTTGTGCCTCCAACGTTATCAACCACTTCTTTTGTGACATTGCCCCATGGATCGTGTTATCCTGCACTGATACCTGGGTGGTAGAAATGGTATCTTTTGGGATTTCCTTTTGTGTCATCTTGGGTTCCTGCATTGTCACCTTGGTCTCCTACATCTATATCATCTCCACCATCGTGAAGATCCCCTCAGCCCAGGG